TTAAACAAATGTCGTCTGGAATATTATTCCAAAAGTTTATAACGGCTGGTAGAAATGACTTCTGGTAATAGCTTGTTCTACATAATATAGTTTGTAAATTTGAAGACCCCCTAGTCCTGTGGTCATGTAGATCTAGCCTCTGGTTTGGAACTAATACAGAAAGATAATCAGGACAATCTCTGTGAAACATTTGGTGAAATTTTAACAACTTATGTTTATTACGCCGAGACTGGAGAGTTTCCCACCTGTTTCATCGTGCAGCAACTGTCTCGATGTTATCTTGGTACCACCTGTGACAATTCTTGCTGCTTCTAGTTGCAAGTTTTCCAAAGATGTTTTTAAATAATCAGGGATATTATCCCAGACAATATCACCATATTCTAAGACTGGGCGTATAAAAGATAAATAAATTGTCTTTAAATTCTTCCTTTTTTATTTTAAACTTCAGCTTTCGGAATAATGCTAATCGTGGAATAGCTTTATCAATAATCATTTTTACATGATTATTCCAGCTTCCATCTTCATTTATAATAACCCCTAAATGCTTGTGCGACTCAACTTCTTTTATGATATTATTATTCATATAAACTGGTGGGTGATGAGGTTTATGGTGCTTTTTTTAAAATGGTAGTAGTAGAGATTGAGCTTTTTTAGGATACCGTAAAAACGTAAGGTTCTAAGGTTCCAAGATGGCGGCCAAAAGGGACTTCCCCGAACTTTAAAATAGACCCAAACTCCAACAATAGACGTATATGTACTTCCATATAAGGTCATGATACCGTAAATTAATCTTAAGGACATGTTAATTACTTAATCGGATTATGAGGCAAACGTTAGCAGTTCATTGCGTCATATTTCAACCAATGAAAGACCAGAACTATATATCCTAATAAGATGGTTAATCCCTTACATTAAAAGTCCTTTTAAGGACATGTAGATTACTTCATCGGATTATGATGCAAACGTTTGCAGTTCATTGCGTTTTATTTTGACCAATGAAAAAACCCATCGTTCTGCATATAAAAAGCTAGGCACACCTTGAAACTTTTCATTTACAACTGTAACGTGTAACCAGGCGTTTATATCTTAAACGTCCGTTCCAGTAAATACTTGGATTCAAGCTGTCCATAAACAATACGGCAATACTATTAACTATCTATGTTATACACAATGAACTAAAATATACACACGGGCTCTTTGCCGATATAAAGTAACGACTAACAATTATATATATATATATATATATATACAAATATAATACAATCTTACAGCCTGTCCTCCAGATGGGACGGTCTGTCACTACAAGACAGTGTGGCTGGTACAGTCTGTCGATACCAGACAGTGCTGCTGGTACAGCTGTCCTCCGAGTGGGACAGTCTGTCACTACAAGACAGTGCGGGTTATATTATTGCAGTCCGTCCTCCGTATGGGACAGTCTGCTCTGCCAACTTCCTATGTTAGACCAACTTGTACCTAGTACAAGTTGTCCCCAGTACAAGTTGTCCTCGACAATATCACTTACAGCTATGTAACGTGCCTTACTCTTGTACACTGGTCTTCTTAATGAGAATATCGACAGATCCCGAACTGTAATCCTCACCCGCTTATATACCCCAGGGTGAATACAATATTTACTGGATAGGGGTGTTCTCTAAATGTTCCCGATACCGAACACAAGAATCCCTCTCAAACACCCCATACCCTTGGACCCAACCACTGACTTTCCCGCCAAACGTCTAAATCGACCCAACGCTTCCTTCTGCGTGAAACATGTATTGATACAACAAGGTTCTTCTTGTTTGTAACCATAACGACCAATAAACATTACATAACCCACGCCTCAATCTACATGCGTCCCGCATGATATAAACATTACAATTACAAAATTCATCCATAAATATATGTACACAATCTTGACTTTATTCAATTTCACAATCAGCCATCCAGGCTGGTCTCTGACTCTTATGACGACTATTTTCCTCCTCTAATCTCATTGAGGCACGATTCTTTTTCATTGGGTGGTTTCTCCTAGTACACTTATTGCAACTAGCAACATATGCCCTAACGTCAGATTTCAAACCAGGCCAATAGTAAGACTGGCGTATTTTCTCTCGAGTTTTATGAATACCTAAGTGACCAGCATACTTTGTGTCATGACAGTATTCTAATACTTGTTTGCGCTCCGACATTGGAATTACCGCTTGTAATTTTGCAACGTTCAGTTCTAGGTCATTGAAGCGTCTAACTACTATATCCTCTTGGAGCTCTAAACTATCAAACTGACTCCATAATGACCTTATAAAGAATCCCTTACCGGATACCTCATTGTATTGTGGCCTATGACCCTCTGTCAGCCACCGCTTAACAAGTTTAAGGTCCGAGTCATTCGATTGTAACTCATTCAAAGTCAAGTCTTTACCATTGTCAGGCATCTGACTGGTTACGATTTTGACATGGCTATGTTTCCTCTTAGAACAATCACTGCTCATGTTTGACTGACTGTCTGATGTTAACCGACGTGGTTTGCCTGGAGCACTACTTAATGCGTCAGCATTTCTACTTTGGGTACCTTGAAAATTTAGAGGAACCCTAAAGTTATCGATGTGTAATAAGTTAGCAGACACGTCAATCAAACACTTATTTTTCTTCATAAAGTCTAAACCTAGAATACCATCTACTTGTAGGTCAGTTACAACGGCCTCTGAAGTAAACTTCTCTTTACCAAAATCCATTTTAAAACTACCTTTACCTCGAAGGCTTAGATATTTGTCACAGACGGACTTAATCTGTGACCTAGTTTTACTCAGATGTGGCCTACACAAGTCAGGAATTAAATCATACACTCTTGTAGAGACTAAAGTTAGTGTAGTTCCAGTATCAACCACAAACTTGACTGGTACATCTTGAATGCTCAACTCAACAAACATTCCTGCATCCTCTGATGCTGAAACAACAACAGCGCCTTTATCATTGTTTGAAGACTTAACTTCAGACTTCAGTGTATTAACCGATCCGTCCGTATATGTTCCGTTGCTATCTGTTCCCCGAGTACCTTGCTTCTGATTATTATTAGGACAATTTCTTGCAAAGTGTCCTATTTCTCCACAACTGAAACAAGGACCACGCCTTTTTCCTTTGCTTTGTGTGCTATTTATCTTCCCCTGTGGTTGGAACTTTCTCGTGTACTTTAAATCCCTAAGTTCTTTTGTTAAGGATTGTAAACTATTTTCAATCGTCTGTATCCACGCCGTCATTTGTCCCATAGATACAGTCATATCAGGACTATTAGGTGCTTCTGTCCGTTCGTCACTAGTAGTATGTCGTAAGTGACCCATACTTTTCATTGTTCTACTCTCAGCCTTGTTATAAGCTTCAAGCTCAACCGCCAACCGTATACTTCGTTAAGACCTTTTGGACGAGACTGTTTCATTCTCAGTCTCATTTCTGAGTCTACTAGCGCATCTATAAACTGTTCTTTGGCAAGCGTGTCCCTTAATTCTAACGGAGCAGTCGGGTAGGCCAGATTAGAAAGTCTTCGAACTGACTGACCTAACCCCGGCAAAGTCTCGCTTGCTTTTTGTCGACATTCCTTGAAATGAACACAATATAGTTCAGTTTGACTAGATGGAGCAAAGCGTTCCTCCAGTGCGTTTACTAGGTCTGAAAATATTTGTCTCTTTTCCTTTGGTAAATCACCAAGAACTGCTTGAGCCTGTCCAATCAGTGACACGGCCAAGTACAAACCTTTTTGATGTTCAGACCACATATTGACTAGGGCACACATCTCAAAGTGTGATAAGTAATCCATCCAAGGAGTATTGCCATCATATTTTGAAGGTTTGATTTTAACATCATTTGAACCATAGCTAACAGTATGAGCAGTACTTTGATTTTTTGTTAATTCCTGCTTAGGATTAATATATTGAGTTTTGTCTTGCCCTATGGATTTTCTGTTATTTACGTGAGGATTTGATATGATATCCCCATCTGGCAAAGGCAGTGTATCACCCACGGCCAATCCTACAGGTGTTGATAGAGACGGCCCTGTCGTCACTACGCCTGAATCATGTTCTTTGTTTTCAACAACCTTTGGACGTACACCCTGCTCTCGAGGTGTGGAATATATAAAACTTTGTCCATGTTGTATTGTGCTTTCACTAAGAGACTGTATTTGTCTACTTATTTCAGCAATCTGATCGTCAATATTTAACATTTCCATTGCAGTATAGTGCAATTCAAATAAAACAATTATTGTGTTATAATCTTTTATTAAATAATACACTCGTGTTACAACTCAGCCGTGAACTACAACTATGCCTCACGGTTGATCTGCTTTAATCTTTTAAATAAACACTGATGTCAACTGACAATAAATTTAATGACGATCAATCAATCAATCAAATAGTATTTGATAGACAACTTGAATCCCAACCGCTAGCCACCAAATATGTAACGTGTAACCAGGCGTTTATATCTTAAACGTCCGTTCCAGTAAATACTTGGATTCAAGCTGTCCATAAACAATACGGCAATACTATTAACTATCTATGTTATACACAATGAACTAAAATATACACACGGGCTCTTTGCCGATATAAAGTAACGACTAACAATTATATATATATATATATATATATATATATACAAATATAATACAATCTTACAGCCTGTCCTCCAGATGGGACGGTCTGTCACTACAAGACAGTGTGGCTGGTACAGTCTGTCGATACCAGACAGTGCTGCTGGTACAGCTGTCCTCCGAGTGGGACAGTCTGTCACTACAAGACAGTGCGGGTTATATTATTGCAGTCCGTCCTCCGTATGGGACAGTCTGCTCTGCCAACTTCCTATGTTAGACCAACTTGTACCTAGTACAAGTTGTCCCCAGTACAAGTTGTCCTCGACAATATCACTTACAGCTATGTAACGTGCCTTACTCTTGTACACTGGTCTTCTTAATGAGAATATCGACAGATCCCGAACTGTAATCCTCACCCGCTTATATACCCCAGGGTGAATACAATATTTACTGGATAGGGGTGTTCTCTAAATGTTCCCGATACCGAACACAAGAATCCCTCTCAAACACCCCATACCCTTGGACCCAACCACTGACTTTCCCGCCAAACGTCTAAATCGACCCAACGCTTCCTTCTGCGTGAAACATGTATTGATACAACAAGGTTCTTCTTGTTTGTAACCATAACGACCAATAAACATTACACAACGAAATACGTCGACATGGCAGTACATTGCAATATCGAATTGGGAAATAACAGATTCGTCCAAGCCAAAGAGTGGAATGATGATATAAGAATCGACATCAGAGAGTGGGATTCCCAGAAAAATATGATTCCCACGAAAAAAGGAATTAGTCTACCCTTAACTCGATGGAAAATGTTGGTCGACAGTCTCGACTTTATTGACCAGGCCTTAACGGAAAAGAGGGAGTATAAATCTCACCTGGGGGGAAACGTCTACGCCACTGTTCAAGAGAACTCAATCTGTGTAGACCTTAGACAATATTGGGTACCCCCAAATCAAACCGATGTCATACCGACCAAAAAAGGCATTTTTTTGAGACCTGCCGAATATAACAAATTGAAAGACACTGCCAGTGTGATGGGTGACTTTGTACCCGAACTGTCTTCTGTCGTACCGTGTCCTTATAGATCGGACCACATGAATCAGTTGGGATTTCTAACATGTCCAGAGTGTAATCCAAACAATTTTACAGAGTGGTGAATGAAACAAACGAAGGACAGATAATTGTAACTTTTTGTTTAACTGTGGTCATTATATTCACTTGAAATATAACAATATATTGTGTATTAATAACGGTAAATTAATAAAGAATGTAACCCATTGGAATTGTCTTAAGTTGTCATTTTAAACCGTAATCTGTTGAAACAAGTTCAAACCACTTGTGTACGTCATATCGATCGCTGAAGTAACTTGCATAATCTTTTAACAATATATCATGACAACACTTTTCTGATAAACCCTTTTGTATAAGAACGGTTCAGTGAGATTTTTTTAGTTACACTTACCATGGTTTAATCATGAAAAAATAATTACACTCCAATCGATCAATAATAAAAACAACATCACTAGAATCCCATGTTTTATATATATTTGAAAAACTATATAACCAATGTCCCGCGTTATGTTTACACACAAATGCAATTAACACTTGCACTTGCATACATGTGCTATCAGCATAGCCTCCAAATGGTATAGTCTGGCTCTCAGCTTGTTCACTTCCTCAAACAAGCTTACTGGACTATCTTCAATTGTATCCTCCTTAGTTTCTTCTGTTTCCCATTCAATGCTCTACAGAAAGAAAAAAAAGTTAAACAAATACTCTAATAGCAAAACAAAAACAAAATAAAAATTAATAAATAAATAAAAAATATATTACAGCTTTTTTGTCAAAACAATAATCAAACTTTTAGTATAAAAATTCATTCAAAATGCATATGTAATTCATATATATTTTCCATGTTTTCTTTAAGTTATGAATCAAATTTGGTATTCTAGGTTTCCCTTTTTTTAACACCAGTCAACTCTATAAGATTAATTTCTTAAATTTTACTTACAATTATTTCTTGATCACTCAGGCGGGCCACTTTTTGTCTACTTTCGAAGACAGGGCTCAAACTCTCCGAAAAGAAAAGCCTTTTCCTTGTTGGAGTTTTGAACTGAAAGAGAGTAAAAATGATTTTACATTTCGATAATACATGAGCAGATATTACGATAATAAAATGTGGAGATATAGCGAATGAAGTTCGAGGTATACAGTGTTATACATACATTTATCGGTGTTAGACTCTTTTATATTAATTTCTAAAATTATACTTACAATTCCTCCTTGTTCATTCAAATGGGCAACATTTTATCCATTTTCAGGACCGAAGACAGGGCTAAGACTCTCTGAAAAGAGCAACCTTTTCCTTGTTGGAGTTTTGAACTGAAAGAGAGTAAACACGGTTTTACATTTCGATATAAAATGTGCAGATATTTCGATTATAAAATGTGGCGATATGACGAATTCAATTCGAGGTATACAATGTGTATTATACATACGTTTATCGGTGTTGAAGTCATTACTGTTGGTGAATCCATCTTCTCTCTAGACTGGTTTTGGACGTTGTGTTGGATTAAAGAAAAATTATTCTCTATTTCAATCGAATTAAATCGAGCTTTGTCCGTTTTGATTTTAAAAATGCTATCAAATCAACAATTAACAGATATCATGTCCGGGATTCGAATTAATAAGATTGACTAAATATCCTTGATTGAGGTATATTAGTGATCGAATATCCTTGAACTCGAGAGGTCTTAGTGAATGAATCTTCTTGAATTAAAGAAATAATAGCATCGTCAAGGATGTAACGATCAAGTTTGCAATATTACCATAAATATCATTCTAAATATATATACTACTAATTTTAGTTGTAATCAAATGTTGAAAGGTTAAAGATGTAATCGAACGAGGAGATTAAGTTGTCGGAAAGTATCATTTTCTGTGTACACAATTTAAACTTAATTTAGCAAGGGTTGGATTAAATTGTAATCAAACGTTGACTACATTATGCATGTTAGGGTGTACAAATGGACAACCCATAATCCGGATTATGATGTACGCTGCCGCATTGACAGTGCATGACGCCGTATGACAATCAATGAAAAAAATATACATAAAACCTTAATCCGATAATGCAATGCGACATATTTCGTCCAATAAGAAACCTTGAGCCGATTAGGATGCAGTACATTGCCTTTTAAAGAGCATTCGTTCTGCCTACATAAAGCTACGCACACCTTGTATCATTTCATTTACCTTAGTGCGATTATAATGCAATGCAATGCGACATATCTTGCCCAATAAGAACCCTTAATGCGATTACGATGCAGTACATTACGTTATTTTTAGACCAATAAAAACAGCATCCGTACTGTGTTTGAAAAAAGCTAGGCACACCTTGAAACATTTCATTTACAACGAAATACGTCTTCAATCCGACGTTAGACATGCATCTTTGTGAGGTGTGCGGTAAAACGTTTAGCTGTATAACAGGCCTATTACGACATAATGTCTCCGTCCATGGCAACCAAATATATACCTGCACAAAGTGCTGCAAAAGCTTCAATCGAAAAGACAACTTACAACAACACACTCTCAAGTGTAAGATCATTTGTCGATATTGCGAGTGTCGTTTTGACCATATTATTTTTCTCGATGACCACGTATCCTCTCAGCACACAGACGGAAAATACCAGTGCAATTTATGTGGACAAAAAAACAAGTACAAGAAAGATATGAAAAGTCACCAACAGAAATGTAATGGAACGGTAATATATTCTTAGAATTTACCCGCGCTTCCTTATCCTTACATAAAATATGCTGAAGTTTTCTTTCTTTAAGTTGCGATTAATATTTCTGAGATAAGATTAAATTAGACGTTCTTTAAATAAAACAGATTAAGTTGTCAAAAAAGGATTAACTTTGAAACAAAACAAACTTCACGATGAGGATTAACCTGATAAAAACACACACAAGGGAAGCAATTCATGTAGATCGAAAATTAGAAGACATGCAGAGTTGTCTCCCATTTCCCTTTTTTTTTCTCTAATTTATTGTTAAATGGTCTTTCTTAGGTATCCCAAAAAGGTTCAACCTCAACGCAACCTGGTCCAAGTTCAGCATCAAATCCAAACGTTCCGAATACGCAGTCACCGAAACCAGAGTCCAGTTCAACCTCTCCGCAACAGGGATGCAGTTCATATCGATGTAGAAGATGTACAGCACGGTTTTCAGACCGACGCCAATTATACTTGCATGGTATGCAGGAGCATTACCAGACCGGTTCCGGAACGTTACAAGCCCGACCTTGGCAAAATGATCAAGCGCCATGGGAAGTTGACGAGGATGACATTTTAAAAAGAGTGTACGAAAGCAACGCCCCTCTGATTTTAGAGAATCACCAGGAAAGTTCCGTGACCTCTACATATAACGTACCACTGACCAACGATTTTTCGGTCCCTCAACTGATGGAACAGGCACAACAAATCTACGATAGACAAGGACACGCTTTTCGACTTAACCTGGAATTTGGTCTCATTTTAAGAAATACGGAGACGGGAGAATATCGATATTTTCGTGCGTATGCCAATGAATCTTTATTCCAGCGTCCCGTCTACATTTCAAAACGGGGAGATTTAAACCGATTGCGACTCAGACTGGAACGATTCAATGCTACCGATTTCCTCTTGAGGCAAAGACCGGATACCAAGTGGAAACCGTACCTGGTCACTAACGCTCGATTCGTCCTGTATCATTTGAACTATCCATTGGGATACATTGGCGATCAGTTACCGGAATACATCACCGTATCCAAATCGATCATCGCCCTAAACAAAAGTAGAAAAGGAACTGTCTACAAGGACCATCTATGCGCCTTCCGATGTTTGGCCGTGCACAGGGGACATCAACGAATTGATCTAGAAGCGCACACCAAACGCCTGTTTGAAGAATGGATTCAGTTTGCTCCGGACAAACATCTAGAAGTCGAAGTCGATGTCAAGAAATTCAAAGGGTTACCACTTCACCAAATGGTCTATTTCGAACATTGTTTCAAGACCAACGTCAATGTGTACCATCTTAGAGACGACGGTGTGGCTTTAACCGTCTACAAATCCAGATGTCAGTATGAAGACAATATGAACGTCAACCAATTCGACCATCATTTGTCTTACATTTCCAATTTAACGGCGTACACCCAAAAATATCAATGCGGGACCTGTAACCGGCATTTCAATCGGTTAAATAACATGAAACGACATCAATTAAAATGTACCGGAAAGACCGTCTACAATTTTAAAGGAGGATTCTATTCCAACCCGAAAACCATTTTCGATAAATTAGAAGAACAGGGCATCCACGTGCAAGAACGGCTCTTCAAATGGTTTGTCGTCTACGATTTCGAGGCCATGCTCGTATCTATCCAAGACTCGAATTCCGAGAAGTTGACGTGGACGCAACGACACGATCCCGTTTCCGTTTCTGTCTGTTCTAATGTAGATGGATTTTTCGAACCTCACTGTATCGTGGAAACTGATATGCAGGTGCTCTTACGTAAGATGGTGGACTACATGAACCAGATCGGCGACAAATCATACGAGCTTACACGACACTCATTTGAAGATGCCTTCGATCAACTGGAGAAAGACATTCAAAATCCGATGCGTGCCTTGTTAGAAGACGACGACGACGACGAGTTTAAACTTGACGCGTTCCTGGACGACGAAGAACTTTTTGAAGTGAACGAAAAAACGAAAAACGTTTTTAAAAAACTGAAAGAAGAACTCGACGCCTACTGTCGACAGACCATCGTCCTAGGATTCAACTCGGCTAAATACGACATGAATCTGGTCAAAACCCATCTTGCCAAAACTTTAGACATGCACCAACCGGGAAAAAACTTTACCGTGAAAAGGAACAATAGTTACGCCTGTTTGGCTAACGATAAATTCAAATTTCTGGACATCACGTCGTATTTAGCCCCGGGGGTCAGTTATGTAAAATTTCTGAAAGCATTTGATGTCATCGACAACAAAGGATTCTTTCCGTACGAGTGGTTCGACGGAGCTGAAAAGCTTGATCATCCTGCATTACCTCCACACGCAGCTTTCTACAGCTCTTTGAAAGAGTCCAACATCACCATGGAAGAATACAAATTCTGTCAGAACGTCTGGTTCGAGAACGACATGTCTACGTTTCGAGACTTTCTCCTGTGGTACAATAATTTAGACGTCGGACCGTTTGTCCAGGCCGTGCAAAATCTTCAAAAATGTTATTTCGACAGAGATATCGACATCTTTAAATCCTCCATATCCGTACCGGGACTCGCACGACGTATGCTCTTCGATACGGGTCGACAGGCCGGAGCCTCCTTTGCCCTATTCGACGAAGCCAATAGCGATCTATACCACACCGTCAAACAGAATTTAACCGGTGGACCGTCCATCATTTTCAATCGACACCACGAAGTCGGACAATCGTATATTCGAAACAATCCAGAGAAGCCCTGTCAGAAGATTCTCGGATTCGATGCCAACGCTCTCTATCTGTGGGCCATCGACCAGGACATGCCTACTGGAGCCTTTGTTCGTCGACGTTTGGAGGATGGACTCAAACCCAAGAAAAGAGACAGATATACGATGATGTATGACTGGTTGGACTACCTCAACCAAACGCATGGTCTCCACATCCAGCATAAGTTAAATACGGGCAAAGAGAAAAAGATCGGTCCCTACCCCGTGGATGGCTTCGATGTGCAAACTAACACCGTCTACCAATTCCACGGATGTTATTGGCACGGACACGATTGTTGGATGACAAAGTCGATCAAAGATCAGAAATGGCGAACAGGACGACAGGCCAAGTACGACAAGACTGCCAAAACGTCGTCTCTGATCCAAAAGCAGGGATACCAACTGGTAGAAAAATGGGAGTGTCGCTATCGAGTCGAGATTCGAGGAGACAAAAACTTGAAAAACTTCTTCGATTCACGGAAACCCCCGACGCCGCAACGTTCCGTCACCGAAAACGAAATTCTAGAGGGTGTTCTGAACGATCGACTCTTTGGGATGGTGGAATGCGACATCCGAGTTCCCGACGAATGGCCGTCGTATTTTCAACATCCGACCATGACACCGTTCAAATATTTCGAAGAGATGTCGCCTCTCTTCTGTACCACCGACGTCCCTTTCGACATCATCGGCGAACACATGCAAGAGCACGTCCGACGATTCGAATTATCGGAAAAACCTCGTCGACTTTTAATTGGTGGCATGCGAGCTCGTCAGATGTTGATCGCCACTCCGCTGTTGAAATGGTACTTGCAGCACGGTATGGTGGTCTCCAAGATCCATCAAGTGATCGAATTTACACCACAACGTT